ATTACTGAAATATGTATCCAATTAGAAGAAGATGGAAATATATTAGAACTTGAAAAATTTGATAAAAAATTAAAGAAATATTTTAAGAGTTATACGGATATATTTCAAATTAGAAGAAAATTAAATGATAAAATCCAAGAAAACTTTAGAAGATGAGAAGACCTACCAGAAATACTAGAAATAAAGAATATAAAATATTCTAAGTCATGAATAATACTGGAATTAATTGTTATAATACTAATATTTAAATTATTTAGATCTAAAAATGAATATGTTTAAATATAAGGTGTTAATCTTCAAAAAATACATAAGAAGAGAATACATCTTGCAATAAATAAAAACCCATATCATTAAGGGTAATATAGATATTTTAACCAGTTTTACAAAAAGGATAGTCAACTGGGTCATTCTGAATAATGCCCCCTTACACGGAGGCATATTGGTGCATGTTCCTATAATTTTAATCGTGTTGACTAAGTGAATGTTCGATGTACTTACTATTGTGGTTTTTTCTTTTTTTGGCTAAAATCTTATCCAACTTAGCCCCAGGTAATGATTAAAATTTAAAATTTGAATTAAATCAAAGTTAACAATCAATTTTAATCACATATTTCATGAATTCCACAACTATTTAACCACATATTTTCTCAACTTTTTGTCTTTTATCAAACTCTACTAAAATTTTGATTTTAATCTTTAGGTTGAATTTTTTATTACACAATTCATTCTACCACCAACTTTTATCCATTTTTCAAAATACATTTTATGAGACACATATCATGTAGTCAACGTAAAATGAAAAAATGATGAGTAGTAGTTGAACAACATTAACATAAAACTTGAGCCCACAAATTACACATAACTGATGCAGATAATTCCAAGTAACAATCATACTACATGTATATTATTTTTTACATTGTGCCACGTGGAGACATATGATTGGATAGTTTCTTTTTTTTTTTTTTTTTAGAGAGAAAAAAATGCCCAACACTTTTTAATAGGGCTGGGCATAGGTTGTATTAGGTTTTGAGTCCAACTCAAACACAACCCAACATGTTAGGTTTGACAATAATTCAAATCGAAATCAACACATTTACGATTGAAATCCAACACAATCCAAACCGACTAAACTCGAGTTGGTTTGGATTGGATTGATTGGTTTGGACTTGAGTCCAATTCAAGTTGAACAATTTTTCTATGGACCCAATGGTTGTGACATTTTTTGTTGAATTTGAACAATTTATTTAAAATTGATACCATTTCAATTTGGACCAATTTCAGTAACATTAATAAGGGTGATTTGAAAGGCATTAAGTCGATTGAAGTTGGATCAATAGTCGGTGGAGTTAAGTTCAATTCCAATACAACAATATAAATTAAAAATATTGTAAAATTTGTTAAATAGATTATAGGGATAATTGCAGCAGCGGAACCAAACATTTCATTTAGTAGTAGATTTTGCTCAAACTTTTCATTTGTGCCACCCACGGTACCAAACTTTTCATTTTTGCTACCAACGATATCAAACCTTCCAAAATGTCCGCAACTGAAGTCCAATAGATGGTTTCTATTAGTTTGATCGTTAGTTGACCA